ATCATGCCCGATTGTTAGTTTTTTTTATTAGGTTTTAATTTTAGTATAGCCACTTTGGATCTAAAGACGGGCCTCTTTAAAGTGGAAGTGGTTGAGCGATTGTGATATGCGTTTTATGTATGCAAAAACTCATGGGCATCAACTTTCTCCCTCATTGTCGTCATTAATTTCAAGACTGACAATAAATCTTAAACAATACAAGGTCCACAAACAACAGTGCCAACATTGGCTTGTCATTGATTTATCAGAATATCAGTATGACATTATTCACAAAAATGGCAGAAAAGTTCGTAATATTTTGACATTGTGAAGTGTCTTTAAATACTTGTCCCTGATTTTACTCAATACTGACATGTCTATTTGATAATGGCTACAGTTTGATCGGATTTTGACAACATTAATTTTTGAGCGATCACTCGTCATGAAACGTGCTTTTTCAGTTCACCTGCTAGGTGGTTGTAGTTCTTAACGTTTTAATAAGGGGAATTTCAATCTTATATAGGACAAGGTATATCACCTTTTATGGTGTTCCAGACGAAGTTACCAGATATATTTCTATATTTAGTGAAATGAGTCACACAATATAGAGATAAAGCAGGAAATGTGTCTAATAATAGTGTCTTCGTAATCAGAGAACCATGATTAAATTATCATCATTTTTATTATCACCATTTCAAGGAAAGGTTATTTGTTGCCAGGAAATGCGACCAACTACTGTTATCTCCTCGCGCAAATCGGCAATTTTCAACAAAAGACCAAACTTTCGTTCTTTTTTATTAGCTTTTATTTTTAATATAGCCACTTCTGTTAAGGTCTAAAGACGGGCCTCGTCAAAATAATCCTTTGACCTAATCTAATGACATCTGTTGTGACCAATTCCTCCTCTCTCTTGCAAAATGCGAGCGCTGGAGAGGGCAGATATTTGATTGGTTAAAGCAAGGTTAGGTCCAAAGGCCATTTTGACGAATGTTACAGAGGCTGTCTTTAGACCCGATCTGAAGTGACTATGTGAAAAATAAAAACTAATAAAACGAAACGAAAGTTTGGTCTAATTTCAATTAATCTGTGCCAATCGATAGGCCTAATATTTTCAAATTTGGTCACTTTCAAATAAATAAGTTTGAATGTATTGATATTCAATCAACAGACACCAGATTGCCTGAATTAGGAAACCATTTGGTGCTCGGTATAAGTATACCTAAAGAACATAGGTATTGGACGGTAAGATTAGAGAGAATCATTCATTCAGTATAGACTTTAAACTGAAACATCTGTCTCTATTCCAGTCCAGCCTCTGATAGCTATTGGGACAGATATCGGCTGATATACAGACAGAAACAATAGGCCCTGTTGAATGGGAACATTCCGCATCTTAGCAGGTGTGAGGGTTTTAAACCTATGTAGATTTAGAAAGATGAATATTTTTGTAGTCCAAAATGCTATTTTTGTATCCTATAGCTATGTATCTTCCTGATCAAAATGGAATTGTTTTAAAATGATTAATTAAAAACTGAGAGTACTAATTGTTCATTAAGTAATTTCGCCTAATTTTGGTGTTTGGTTTTATAATGGCTCGATATTATTAGTTGAAACCTTCAGAATGCGTATATAGGAGACATTTCTCAACAAAAAGGCGTTTATTGCAGTATCGAACGCACTGCTTTGTTTGTGGTATATTACTAGGTGAATATAAATTGGAATATGTTTGCAAAACGGATAGTTGCACAGTGTAAAATGTACAAAAACTCGAAAATTTGCCCTAGAAGGCACATTTTTTGAGCGAATTTTCTCGGGTTTTCAAATTAGGGAACTCGCAAGAATATCCAATAGGTTAGCTGTTAAAAAGCTTCCAATTTTGAAAATTCGTAGCACACATTTTTTAGCCGAATTTAGCAAATTTTGACCAAATTTTAGATTTTCTCTGATATTTGTCCGATTGCTTTGAAACTTTTGGTGATAAAACAGGTCGCAACAGAAAAAAATTGGCATAATCAAAAACTTTGCATCACTTCCGGTTTTCACGAAATCGATGTGTAAACTTCCGGTTGACCCTTTTTCTGTATTATGAATGAATGTAACTGAAACGTATACTAAAAGGTAGATATCGTTATGATTTACAAAATTAGAGGCATTTACTAGACACGAAAATTTATATTTTGGCCGCCATTTTCATTTTCTTGAAATACGTCAAAATTTTATTCAGAGATAACAGATCATCCGATTTTGATGATTTTGATGTCAAATGAAGAAAAAGCTGAAAAATTATAGAAAAATGCAGGAAGCCGATTTTTGAATTTCGCTTTTGCTTTTGTGCAATTTCCGGGTGAATTTTTTCACAAAACGTGATCTTGACCTTGGGTCACATTGACCTCTACAGAATCAAAGGTCATTGACCTTGACTATAGGTTGATACATTTATATTTGATCTTCGATTTCTACTTCTGGTTTTATAGCTGTCCAAAGACAGCACAATTTTAAACTTTGAACTGCTCTATCACGTGACCTAATTAAAATAGGTGGTTGTTGTTTTCAAATTCTGAATAGACTTTTTGTACCCTTTCTTACTATACATAACAACAGTTTTTAATGCCAAATTTTAAATTTTGACACTGACTTTTTGATTTTTAAATTTTGATCTTTTTTCTACAGGTAGATTGATATTTTGATTGCAAACTAAAATTAGTTTTCAAAAGTTTGATATCACTTACGATTCTATATGCTTGTAAACGTTAAATTTCAACTTCCGGAATTTTATAGATAATTGAAAAGTTCTTTTTCCGACATCCAAGAATTTAAGATTTTAAATGACAAAATTCGTCTGCCATCTTGAAATGGCTAAAATGTCTATAAAACCACTTTTTGGGATCAGGGTTTGGATTGTTTTAATGTCTATATTATCAGTGAACGATTTCTAACAATGGTTTGGGAGCCGACTTTTGAATTTCGATTTTGATTTCGAGTTCTTTCCGGTTGATTTTTTCAATATCGACAAGGAATTTCAAGGCTCATCTCTTGTGACCCGGACCTTTGATGACCTTGTGAGCAGCCTAAAAGTTGTAGCCTTAAACGAGATCTATCCAAAGATATCTTCATTTGTGTTGTGCAACGTAAACTTCCGGTTCTTTTAAAATTCGCGACTTTGAAGAGCTGTCACGTGACCTATTAACATACGACAAAATTTCCTATATATTCTTAAAGTGCATGATCTCTCCTTGGTGATATATCACATTTGATATTTTGATCAAAATTGAGCTTTTTAAAAATTAAAAATTTTGTACTGACTTCTATAGTAACTGTGCTTAAATTCACGGTGTCTATAATTCACCGACAGTAACCGTTGCCTTAAAAAACTACGAATATCCCATGATCGAACGATTGTAAACACTTGAAATTTTTAAAATTATTTAATATTGTACACTTCATCACAGTTAAAACAAAATTTTTTAAGTGGGTGTAGCACTTCCAGTGTGCATTTACCTTTGCCTGAAATATTTGCAATTGTCATAACTAGCAAAGTTTGCAATTGTCACCCTCGAAATTTTGCACGAAAATAGTTCACTACTTAAGACAATTTGTGATAAGATTATAGTTGTTTGCGATCTTTACTTTAAAAAAGGGAATAGGTTTAACATTTTTAAAAACTTTCATTTTTGAAACTTAACATAAATGACTGCATGGTCAAAGTTCATTGACCTAGGATGACTATTCTTCCTTTGTTCTTTGATGTCCGATATACTTGTATACAGACGTCCGTAAACAGCAATTTTCGAAACCTCAAAGACTCATATATTGCTTATATTTGACCTTTCTTGGCCTTTTGACCAGATCTATATTCAAATATATCATCATTATTATTGTGCAGTGTTTACTATCAATTTTACAGCGATTTAAAAAAACTTTTTACTACCGAGTGTTAACACTTTTAACTACCCAATGTTATCAAATTAATGCGTCTTTTCACTAACGAATGTTAAGTGGTTTATCGAATTTTTACTATCGAATGTTAAAATGCTTTTATTTCCCACTATGAATAAAGTTTCGCCGCTTAGTCAGGTCGGATATGAGCGCATAGAAATTGACTTGCCTGAAGATGAAACTACCACATTCCGTCAATCTAGGGAAACCCATTGGATTGAGACATTGAATACAACAAGACCTATAGAACTAAATATTCACCATAATGTAGGCATAGCACCCTTTGTTGTCCCGTTCAATACAACCAGCAGTCGAGTAAGTAAGATAGCCCATGTCCACTATAAGAGCCTTCAAGAAAAATTCCCCCATGTCTATAAGCAGAAAATGATAGTTGCATATTCAAAAAATAAGAACTTAAATCAAGCCTCCCTTCCCCGAAATTTAACAGTTTACGTAAACTTGCGTAAACTTTTTAAATAGTTTTGGAGTTAAAGAATTAACGGCTGGATTTTTTAAGTTCAAACTTTCAGATTCGTTAAGGTATACCTTTTGCTAGATTTCGATGTATAGTTTTTATACGCCCACATGGAAACCGTTGCAAGTCCTTCAAAAATCTAATCGTGCGTATAAGGAAGGTCACCATTCCTCTTCGGCAATAAATAACATCATCTCTGAAAAACGAACCGATATTTATTACTGAAGATGAAACTCTTAGCCGGTTTTACAAAGCTTACGATCGTAGCAAGTTTACGACTAAGTGTAGAAGAAATATACGATCGTAGCTAGTACCGATCTTAGAACCACTTGCATAAAACGATCGTACGACGATCTTAGTAGAGACGTTTCGCAAACACACGATTACGATTACGATAACGATTCTATAATCGTAAACGTAATCGGCATCGTTATTTGAAAAATGTAGGTTTCGCAAATAAACGATTTTTAAAATTACGATCATGTCCCAAGACGGGATTCGAACCTGTCGATATATTTCCCGGCATTAGAATATAGGCTGCACATGTATTTTGAAATGACTGCGCATGTGCAAGACATTGTTGAAAATGGCGGACATTTTAGATCTTGCCATGCTTGAAGAGGATGAACAATTTGTTTTCATGCTTCAAATGCCAGACATTCAGCCAAGAACTTTTGACCCGAACATTCCGAGATTTGAATTGGACCTCTTATCGGATGAACAGGCACGAAATCAATTTCGATTTTATAAAGACGACATCATTCGTTTAAAGCATGCTTTACAAATTCCGGAAAGAATAATTCTACAAAATAGGTCCGTAGTTAGTGGCACGGATGCCTTGTGTATCTTACTAAGACGGTTTGCATATCCTAATCGTTTTTCGGATTTGGAACGTATATTTGGACGTCCAAATACAACACTTTCCATTGTTGTGAATACATTACTCGAGCATATACATGACTATTTTCGACATGTAGTGACAGAATTTGATCAGGCATGGATGGACCAACGTCATATACAAATATACGCCGACACCATACACGAGAAAAGAGCACCTTTAACTAATTGTTTTGGTTTTGTTGACGGAACAGTCCGGCCAATTTGCCGGCCCACAAGATACCAGAGGGTATGTTACAATGGACATAAACGCATTCACTCATTGAAGTTCCAATCAGTCATGTTGCAATTTCGATGATGTGAATATAATTTGTCATTTCAATCTGCACTTTAAAATAAAATCCATTGCAATATTCCTCACTTGTAGACCTTCTTCGACCTTCCTTCTATCTGCTTCTTTCACCTTTGTATTCTCTCCTAACTTCTTTTCCTCTTCTTCTTCTATCAGGGAGGTGATGTCTGTGAGAAGTTGGTCTCTTTCGTCGAATTCTTCATCAGTACCCGAGTTGCAAATAAAAAATAATTTAAATTTAAAAAAAAATTCCCTTCCGACAGCCCGAAAAATATTGCCTAATTGCAGTAACCCAGATCACGTAGGTAGAGGTAACTTTAATAACAACTGATTTAATTCGATTTCTATTGTGTAATATATCTTAGCACTTGTTTAAATCCAGAACATACATTTTACTACCGGTTCTTAAAATTAATACTCAAGCTTTAAGGGAAGCCATTTCCTCTTTTTTAAAAGCATCAGGTAATGTTCGAAGGCGATCTTTTGATGACCTCTCTGTAACTCTGCACTTACTGTTCTCCCAGTGTATCTGTGATGTACCCATTCACGACTTTGACAATTGCGGTCCATTCTTCTCCCTTTTTTGCTACCACTATCGAACATGGCGTCTGTGCCAGATACTCCTGCAGCATTAGAATATCTATGGCTGGTCTATAACGAAATGAATTTTTCGTAGGTGGCATTTTCTGAAATGAGAAAAATCCAAAAAAATCAATAGACTTCATATAGGCTGATCAGGGGTGTATCCAACTTTTTTTACCATAGGGCCTATATAAAATTCACAACTTTGGGGGCTCTGACAGATTTTGTAATATAATATTTTAGGTGGTTAGGCCTAACCTAGGAACACCCAGGTCCCAGACCCACATCATCATAATTTTCTTAAGCCTATAGGCCTATTATGTATTATATATATAGCCTATCCTACGTGCTCTCACGTAGTGCCTATAGGCCCTTTTCTTTTTTTAATTTCTGACATTCTAATATATATGATACTGACATAGGCCTACATATATGGTTAGACATCACAGATAGAGACGCTCAATATGCTGAACACAGTAGTCAGTACATGTAGTGTGAGTGTTATCATGGCAATATTGGCATGATGTGACAGACGAGTTTTTGACGTTTTTAGCATAAAATTGATACCCGGTGAAAACATTTAAAATCAATGTTGAGTCACTATTTTTTGACAGCAATATGAGCTACGGTATCTGAAGTGTTCATATAACTACCAAACCTTGGAATAAATTATCATAAACCTGCACAAAAAGATGGAATATGTGTACATATTTACTTACGATTCTAGGCTCTCTCAAACGTCGTCACGAATGGCGCTGTACGTTAACCGATTTTGAAGTACGCATAATATTGTGACGTCATACACAAAAATGACAATCGTATTCGTAATCGTGTAGTCTAGTACACGCGTACATCATTTCACTTCCTTTTTCTGCAGTTTCCCAAGCGTTAAAGCGGTATTAACAACTCTACCCCTTAAATCTCGTTGTGTTACGGACATATCCCCGTGCAACCCACCATTTTGATAACGAAAGATCGGTCTTACGACATCTAAGTACATGTCGTAGCTAATGGTCTTAAATCCTAAGATACGACCAAAGTTGCGACTGTATTTATTTCGTGAAATCCATCGTACGAACGACTTGCAATCAGTTGCAAACTTACGAACTGTCTTAACTCTTTTGTGAAACCGGCCCCAGTTGCCATCGTCGTACAGTGTGGGCCCATCCTAATCTGAGCGATGATATTGAGCTGTCAATGGATGTCCTGTAAGCCCCCGACCCCTTTACTTTGGAGCCTGACCCGTCGATTAACCCTGTGATGTAAAGCATCAGTTCGCTGATGACGTCACTATCAGAAAGAGGTTCAAAAGATAACTACAATAAGTATCGTCATAATCACATTAATACCGCCAATAATTAATATTATATGGTCGAGGATAATTACTGTTTGCTACGTCAAATCAAGGTAACTAATAAATTTGATTAATAAAACCATACTTTGAAAATGTGATGTCCGGTCTCTCGATTCAATTGAGGAAAACGACGGTTATTTTGGCGAAACATTGTTAGCAGTAAATGACCTTTTCATTTGCTCCAGTACCAGGATTGGTAGCCTTAATCATTTAGCATCATTTTACTTGGAAATCAATCAATCTACACACGCGATGATACCCGGACAATTCGACAATTTTGTACATAGTCGAATACTGTCAATCGATGAAAAGCACCTGCATGTCATGTCTGACATGTGTAAATTCCTCATGTAAATTACATAACATTAGTCAACTAATTAATTATATGTAATTTAATCTGGTTTTCATTATATAGTTCTTAAATGTTGATCACATATTATTATAGACGTCATTAGGCTACTGATAAAGCGTAAATTAAAAACAGTTTTTATAAAAAAAAAAGCGTTCATTTCTATCAACCACACATCCAAGATGTGGTTGTGTGTATTGTATGTATTATGTTGGTTGGTGAAGAGTTCAGTTTGTGATAGAGTTATAAATGACATAACAACTGAAGCAATGTCTATTGTCAGTGAAAATATAAGTGTTTATCAAGCTTTAGAATCTACATCTGTAGCAAATCCGAAAAAAATTATACAAGGATTGGGTACTGTTGGTAGTTTTACCAACATTGACAGTGAAAGTACAAGTGAATTGTACATCGCAGAAACTCACAGCGAGGAACGATCAGCATTTTTGAAAGGTAGCAGATCTGGTCATAAAAAACAAAATTCCACAAGAAAAACAACGGACACCAATGAGGATCTGATGTTGAATAATAGTTTTAGTGGAATTGTTTGTGAAAACCAAAGAGAATCGTGTAACGGTTTATGTAATGCAACAAATGCTATGTATAATGGTATGAAATGTAGCTGTGATATTCATTGTCAAGTATACAGAACTTGTTGTGAAGATTTCGAACACTATTGTCCTAATCTCTGGTTAGAAGCTCATCAAACATATGGGAACGTGATAGATCTGAATATTGAATGTTTGGAAAGTTATAGTTTAGGATATTTAGTTATAGCTGCGTGTCCTATAGATCAGCGGTTTCAAAATGATGACAGGAAAAAATGTGAAAATTCCAGCTTAGAACAACCGATTTCTGTAGGTGATCTACATTTTAAAAATATTGATTGCTTGCGATGTAACGGTTTTAATGATTCAAATGGTTTACTATGGGAAATAATTGTATCTCTCCATGCAGAGAACTCACGCAATTGGCTTGAAGGGCCTGGCTTTCTGAAAAGTGAGCCTTATGGTACATATGTCAATTGGAACCCACATAATCCGAATGTAAAACAGTGTTCAAAGAATATCATTGGCAAATGTCCGGAAAGCACCTCCAATTATATGGCTTCTAAATGTAAAGGAATCAACTCTTATGTTAAAGTATCTGTTAATAATTCAAGATTATTTGATATTTATAGAAATAAATATTGTATTGAATGTAACATTGGTAACAGCACTCCGTGTAAAGTTATGTCAACAACAGATTTTAAAGGTAATAGACATTCTCATCTTTCGACACTTGTCAAATGGACTTCTTCCCCAGATTTTAAATCTCAAGGAATGTTTGAAGGAAGCTCTAGAACAAAATGGAAAAAAATGAAGTGTTCTGGAAGTTTTCAGAATTGGTCCTCACTTCAATGTTCTGTCACTGAATGTTGGAATACATTAGAACCAGTAAATGGTATATGTCCACTAAGTAAATCTGTATTTTATGTTCTGTTTGTCATCAATTGGAACCATATCTATCTAAATGATGTTAATGGTACAGATCATATTGTTATTCCGTCAACTATTAAACAACTGTTAAAGATTTATGTTCAAAATGTATATCTTACTAATAATCTTAGTGTGTGGGCTACCAATAAGTCTGTAAAATTTTTAGTTACCTTAGAAAATGAGAATAAAGTTTCTGTAAAAGATATAAGAGCAGATATTATACCAATAATTAAATTTGGTTTATCTGAACAGAGATTTCACGGAGAATTTTCATTTTGTATCGTCATGTCCTTTAAGTTTCGTACATCTTTTCGCAATAGTTGTCGAGTGTATATGAATTACACGATTCCAGAAATAAGCCCTGCGGACATTACGAGTTGTGTCGCAAATCCATATCCGGTTGCCTATTGGATGGCGGTTATTATAATAGGTCCATTGAAAACACTCCAAAGCTTGGTATAAGCAAAATTAATTATAAATATTAGGGTGTTATTTTTTGTTAGAAATTTTTCCTTATTGCATCTGATATAAAATATTATCAAAACCGAGTATTTCTTTTTTTTATCTGGAATTCTTTGTATTATTTTACGGCTCTCCGACACTCGACTGTCTTTTAACTGAAGTATAAGCATACGAATTGACAGTAAAATCATTGCAAAACTGTAGGATCATTTACAGGCATTTAGAATTTTCGTAAGACGTTGTGTTGTTTACTGTTAAGTACTTTACGATATATTCAGCAAATTATGGAAAATAAAATGAAGGGGGTTTTACGTGCTACTTTTCTGCACCAAAAAAAAAACGCAGGAAAGCAAACCATAATTAGTTCAATCACTTATCAGGACGATTTAATGACTGACCATTTAAGATGAATCTTTTTGAAGATTTTAGGATTTAAAATAAGAATGCATAATATATAAGAATACAGGCTGCCTTCTTCGGTACCCAAATCAACCTGCATGACCTTCGTTTCCTGAACACAGCAAGCGTGTATGCCGCGACTGGGATCGAGATATATATATATGTATTGCTAATGCCTAGTTCACACCAACGGCGAATGCCGCGCTTTAAATCGGCGAGCAAAGCGCCATCATTTTTTGTTTACTTTTCCAAAAATATCACTATCTCCTAAGTAATGTTACGCTCTGATAAGCTTTGACACGAATTGGTTACGCTTTGGGGACGAATTTTTTCCAATTGATCAGGTCTTGTTACGCTTCAAATCACGCTTTGGTTAGCTTTATTAAGCTTTGATGCGGTTATGACGCTTTAAATCACGCTCTGATACGATTATCAATCTCTGTTGTGCATTGTTAAGCTCTGTTACGCATTGGAAAATTTCGAGATCGCCGATTTCATGCCACTTTTGATCAAGTGGTGACAGACCGTGAAGACTAGGGTCCCCGCTTTGAATAAAGATCTGTTAAGCTTTCCTACGCTTTGAGTCAAGCTTTGCTGAACTTTGTTACGCTTTGATACGTTCTCGGCGCTTTAATCAATTCGTGACAGAGCGAACAAAATTTTTAAACAGTTTAAAATTTTTTGGCGCTCTTACCGAATATCCAGCTTTGCTCAAAGCTTTCCAACGATCTATTACGACCCTGGCGCTTTAGTCGAGCTTTGTTACGCTTTGGTACCGCTATGTACGCCGCTTTAAAGCGCCATCAAAGCGCCGTTGGTGTGAACTGAGCATTATGCTAATGACTAATGCACTGTGGGGCTGTACAATGCTTCACCATGGATAAATGTGCACGTCACGTCAAGATATCCACCTGCCCAAACAGTGCTCAAGGACCGTTTCCGAGGGGCAACGGAATAAGCATCAGTGATTCATCACAGATCGCCATTGAGTTCGATGGCAGTCGAGATCTTTAATTGGCGTTGTTGACGTCCAATCCGGAACTCATCCAGAAAGATCACCACCTACAAGCACGTCAGCAGTGGATTTAACAGCAATTTAAGATTTAAGACATGTCGATATCCTTGGCTCAACTACCATTGGGACTGTTTGAACCAAGTCCACGGAACCCCACCCCGAAAGGATCACCTACCCCAGAAAAAAATGTACCTAAAATATTAACACATAACATAAGATAGCTTGCCAGGCAAGGTAACATACGCCCACTGGCAGCCTAAGGATGATAAAAGTGTCTTCAGTAACTATATTAAAAATTTACTCATATATAATAAGTCAAAATCTAATGTCAGCAACTCAGTTCAACATGCCAAGAAACCTTCCCCCTTGACCAATATTGAATGACATAATTAATGACATAATTAAACCATATAGAATTTCATTTTTGTATTAACACTACAAGGCAAAATTAAATGAATAAGCAAACCTTTCTGTTGAATTAAATTTCTAAAATAAAGTAACGCGGTGGAATGTCACATGACTATATATGCCTACTGAGCTATGATTGGATAATTTTCTTGTTGGGGTTTTCCATTAGTCTATTTATAGTATCTTATGCTCAGTCTATTTATAGGATCTTATTATGTCATAATATGTATGGTAGGTTAATACTGATATGTTAAATGATTAAATTTATTTTTCTGATTTGTTTTTTTTAAATAATTTCTACTTTTAATATATAAGCTGATAATCAAATTTTTTAGGACAATGACATCTATTGAAAAGTGATTTTAACAAAATCTATGAAAACCTATTATGTCTTTGAATATTAGGCTACAGGTATTTATACTTATTTTTTTTAGTAATACTAGTGTCTTTTAGAGTGTCTGCGAGGAAATTGTATGTGTTTTAAAGAAAGAGGGCGATAACTCATATTAAATATTTTTAATTTTTTGAATTTTAAATAGGGATTCTTTCATAAGTAATAATAAACAATTCACAAAGTTTCATTCAAACCTGTCAAAATTGTGCCTTCTAGAGTGTTTACAACCTAAAATATTTTTCGATTTTATTCATTTTCGATAGGGTTCATCCTAAATAATTTTAGCAAGTTTCGTGTATACAAGCTTAAAGAACAAGGGCAATAATTCATATTAAATATTTTTTCAATTTTATTGATTTTCTATAGGGTTCATCCTTGGGTGATAATAAACAATTTCAGCAAGTTTTGTCAAAATCAGTAAAGAATTGTGACTTGTAGAGTGTTAACAAGCTAAAAATTGAGCGCGTTTTAAAGAACAAGGGCAATAATTCATATTAAATATTTTTCGATTTTATTGATTTTCAATAGGGTTCATCCTTGGGTGATAATAAACAATTTCAGCAAGTTTTGTCAAAATCAGTAAAGAATTGTCACGTGTAGAGTGTTAACAAGCAATTGTGGACAGACCGAAGGACGGACCGACGGACACAGGTGACGGCAATATACGCTCCACATTTCACGTGGGCGTATAAAAATGGTTGACTGCTTGTTCTTATTTAAGAAAAACATTATCTTGTTTAGCCACTGGCGATATCAGCTGACGAAGGTTGAAAGATGAGTAATGTTTGGACAGCTACCTTATCAGTTAGGCTGAAGTTGTAATAATTTCAAAATATTGTTAGTTATTGCAAGATATGTAAAAGAAAATTAGCCTATTAGCTGATAGAACCAGGCCTCAGTGATAATAATTTGGGAAGTATTATGAAACATATCAGCTCAGTTAAAGTAGCATGAGCTATTTAGGTATATAAAGATGATTGTGAAATTTTAAATTTTACTAAAACATTCAAATGAATTCAAAATGTAAATTTGATAGTGGTTTCCTATATTTATACATAAATTAATGAGTAATCAGCTATTGTACATTCAAAAGGGTAAACACTGACTTGAAAATCAAACTCATATGTGTATATATGAAAAATTTTTACAAAAATTTCATAATTCATGCTATAACATTTACAGTTAAAGTTACCAGAAAACATGATTTCATAGATACAAAGCTGTGGACAACCTTCCTTATAAGACAGATTTCCACAGTAATGCTTTGGTATATTACTACTTAGCATTTCTAAACCATGCTTTATATGATGACCTATCAACTTGAATAGAATACAATCTACATATACATAATATCAGTATGAGATATAATGTTGTATATATGCAGAAGGTTATATTTACATAATAAACAGATTCTGTCAGTGTCAACCTACTGTATCTACTCTGCAGTGAAACTATATTAAATTTCAACTAACTATCAGCTAAAATATTGCATAATTGAGTGATCATAATATCAAAATAAAAACATTTAAAGCTTTATAACAACAAAATATATCAGCCAAATTGAACCAAAGCATATTTATTTAGTCATCATTGAATTAGTTAATAATAACACCAAATAACACTTACCAAATATTCAACTTCCAATACTTGCTTTCCTTATAATTAATGGTCCATAAGGAATCCCTATTACTGACTTTTCTGGTGACAAAGTCTATGTTTTCATATTGGAATTAAATGATTTGTGAGTTTTTTAATTTGGTATTATCTTAAATATTTTATTCTCCTACAGGTCATGTTCCTTTAGCATTGTTGTTATAGATATGGTACACAATTAATAAAGGAACATGCCCTGTATAAAACATTGTACATTAGAGGAGATTTCCTGCTGTCATCATATTATATAGGAC